AGTTATGTCCTCGCTGTCATCGTCGTTATTGCTGTCATCGTCATACTTACTTTGTGTTCGAGAATCGATTTTGGGTTAAAAATCAATTCCTGCCATATCAGTTCCATCTGAATGTCTATTTTCAGATGTGGGAAACTTAATTACACATGAACGAAATCGATTAAATAGCTGTTTAATACATGTACTTGAAAATCGATTCTCAAATTGAAAATCGATTAATCGAACTTATCGTTATTTACGTACAGGATCGACATTACGGTACACAGGAATTTCGCTTTAGCCTCCTCTCCGACTTTGTGTCTTTGCCACAAAGAAATCTCTTAAGATGTTTCGAAAATGTAATTGGTCATAAGTTTCATTCCGAAGACAGTTGGAGGCCAGAGGGAAAGGTACCTCATTGTTTTTTATATTCATGAATCAGAATAGTAGTGCACTCGATTTTTACTTTAGTGTGCACAAAAATCAAACAAATAGAAAACACTGTTTCTGAACTCAAAGTGCACAATCCCGGATCCTTGTTCTCATGAGAACGCGAGAACACCAGATTTCAAACACTGGATACTACATGTACATTGATACATGTATAAGAATTATCTAGATTCTAGTCAGACATATCGATATCGATATGACTGATTTGACATTGAGATTTTGGTAATTTTTGGGTGGCGTTAAATCGGTTGTGGAATCAAATCCGCCTATACCGATACAGTGCTCGTCAGAAGTAACGTACCCCCTCCCAATAAATCATGTGCAATTTTCCGAGCACAAAGAATATTACAAATGCTGATCATGATACCTTTTGGTAGAGCTTCTATATCGGGTATTGTATGTTCATAAACTTTCACGTCCCAAATACGTATAATCAGTTATTTCATAACACATATTAAATAATCTAACTCTTGACATCCAGTGATCCGATTTGAACAAAAATATCCCATTCAATTCGCCTAGTCGAGGTGAATCGAATGGTAATATTTCTTTAAATCGGATCACTGGTCGTCGAAATATTGCGTCCTAAAGTAGCAGATTTGTTTTTTTAACATTAACAAAAATTAATCTGCCAATTTAGGACGT